GTCATCGGCGGCGAGTGAGGGTGGATAAGAAGAATCAAGAACTGTTTGAGCAGTGTTGAGCTGCTTGTTGTCGTTTGCAGCATCGAATTCCTTCTTCTCCGTTACCAACTCCATTGACAGCTTCTTCGTGTGACCTAAATTGCCTTGTCGCCTGCTTTGTGCGTCCGCGAGACTGCAAATAAGCAGACCCAACCGAGAGAACCGGAAAAACAGAAAGAAGAAGCGCCTTTGGTACGCACAACCAAATTAATACCAAAAGAATAAATAAAAGAAAAAATTCTTAGTGAAATTTACTCAAAAAAAAATAAAAAATAAAAAGAAAGAAGAGACCGGTTTGGTAATATTTCTGTCATTAGAGGCTAAATAGAGCTTACAAGTCACATCAATGCCAAATTTTTTTTACTACAACAACTAGAAGTAAGAATTCGAACTCATAATCTTTTGGTCAGAGACATGTGTCAATTATCGTTGATCTATGTTCGTGTTATGCCAACACAAAGTTGATAATCAATTCTAATAGTTAACACACTATATATATTATTTAATTTGAGAATAAGAAATGGAAACACAAGGAGCGAAACTACTTTTGTTGTTTTTAAAATTTAGCCCATTTTTAAAATCGTTTATCAAAATTTAAAAAAGAGAAACATAATGAGTTACCAAATATATATGTTTTCAAAAAAATTAAAACGGTAACGAGAAACATAGCCCTCAATATTTACAAATATGTGTTTTAAAGTCAATGAAATATATATTCTAAATCTCAAATATTTTTGTATTTTTATATCATGTATGTCATTTAATATTAAAATTGGTTGATAATAAAATTACCTCGTAAAACAATAGAATTTTTTAGAGGAGGAATTCAGTATCTTAAGAGGAAAAGTTTATGATTCATTCTTCAACTTATATCTCAATAACTATTTTGATTTGATTTTTTATTTATAGTTTTTTAATCTTCTATTTTTCGTTTTTTGTTTAAAAGAAAAAAATAAAAAACTTTAAAAGAAAAAAATAAAAAACACACATATATATATATTTTATAACTGTTTTCTATTTTTTTTACTTTAAAAGAACATAAACAAAATATATTTGGTAACTATTTTTGAATTTCTATTTTTTAAATGGTCTAAGAAGACAAGAGATATACTATAGAGGCAGGTAAATAAAAGTTTAGAAAGATATAGATACACTTTTCAAATTTTTAGGGATGAAAGAAAGAATTTTAGAGAGAAATGTATTAGGGAGATAAAAAAGGAATTTTCAGAGAGAGAAAATGAAAAATACGAGAGAAAAAATATATGTTGTAGAGAAAAAAATAAAAAATTAAAAGAGAAATAAAATTTGGAGTGAGAAAATTCTAAAAAATAAGAAAAGTTAATACATATATTTATTAGAAATAAAAAAAAGAGAGACATTTTAGAGATAGATATGTTAGAAAGAAGGATAAGTTTAAAGGGAAATTTTAGAAATGGAAAAATTTGGAAATTTTAATTTTTTAGAGAAAAGAAAAAGCGAGGGATGTGTTAGAAGAGGAAGAGAAATGAAAGTTCTAAAGATGAAAATTTTAGAAAGACAAGAAAAAGAAAATTTGTGAAGATATGAAAAATTAGGGGAAAATGTTAGAGAGAGAAAGGTTGATGAGAGATATATCAAAAGAAATAAACTAAAAGGAAAAAGAAATTTTGAAAAGCATAAATATTTCATAAATTCTTTTTTTTGTTTGGTTTTTGAAATTTACCTATAATTTCAAAACATTATTTGAAACAAAAAATTTAAATCTGAATCAAATATAAAAAGAAAAAAATTTCAAAAACAAAAAACTAACTATGGTTTGATAACTTTTCTATTTTATGTTTTTTGATTGTTGAAAAAAATAGCCAATTCAATTTTATGTTTTCTATTTTCTAAAACCGCTTTTAAAAATTTTTGTAAATTTAAAAAATTAAAAAGAAAAATATATTTATGTTTTTAAATTTTGCTAAACTTTTTATCTTTACTGTAACATATCTTTCCTCCACAAATTTCTTTCTCAGTCTAATTTTTTTCCTACCAAAAATTTTCTCTATAAAAAATTTATCTTTCTCCCTCCAAAATTTTTATTTATGGAATATTTAGTATCTCTCCAAAATCTTCGTCTCTATATATTTTTATTTATCTATTTTGTTTTTTAAACCAAAAATAATTGTTTTTTGGAGACCACYGTCCAAAACAACCTTTTTTGTTTTGTTTTTTTTAAAATCTTGTTTATATATATATTTTAAATATTCTTTTTTAAGACAATTATATTATATTTTGTTTTTATTCAAGATTTTTCAAAAGTTATAATATTTTAAAACAAATTAAAGTTATATATTTGTTGTACTTTAAATTTAAAAAATACGAGGTTGGAGAATAATATTTGATATTTATATAAATAAAATAATGATTAAACGTCTAAAATTTACATTCCATCTATCTACTACGTCCCACCGTTGTTGGGACGTAGCCGATTATGAGCTAGCTGACGACGAACTCTCGGTGCCATCGGTCTCTTAATTCTCGCAAGAGTAAAGGTATTGTCCATGCTCCCCACATTCACGTCCATGATCGGTCCTATAACCATATTGTGGTGGCAAATGTGGTGTGTGAAACTAACTTGAACTAGGAGTCGGTATGTAACGCTACGTATTTTTTTTATATATGATATTTTAGTAGTTTAATCTCATATACTAGAAAATTATTTTTTAAAAATTTTCGTTACAATAGAGATTTTTTTTCTAATTTAGTCTTTTTGTTCTGTTATTATCTTTTCTAAAAGAAATAATGTTTGTTAGGTAAGATTGGATTAGATAAAGCATATTAAGAAAATAAAATAAAAGGAAAGAAAGATAAAAGAAATATAAAAAAAATGAATAAAACATGGGTTGAGCTTAGAATTAGTTAAAAGATAATATCACAAATCCTTGGTTATATCGTTCCCTTTCCTCTCTCTCAATTTTCACTCTGGCATAACTGTTTTATTTTCCCCTCCCTTTCTCGTACACACATCCAACGTCAGTCCGTTAAGTCACGAATAAATTTTTGGATTGGCAATCCTTATAGTAGGTGTTAAATTTCATCAATTAAATTTTATTGTTTTTTTTTATTTTTGTTAATTTTTGGGAAATTGATTTAGGCTGGGCGAGTAAATTTCAAAGATTGAGCAAACATTTATTTTGGATCGCTATTGAGGTAAGAGGTTTTGCTTCAGAATGCCTTGGGCTAGGTTGTAATATTTATATGATGTTTTGAATGACTACATGATAATTTTTGTTTGTGAATTGAATGTTATGTGAAATTTTTGGCTGCAATGTTTAGTTATGGGAACTCATGCAGGATCTTGAATGTGAAACATTTTTTTTATTATATATATATATATATATATATATATATATATATATATATATATATTGTGACAACCACCCTACTGTAATGCACAAATTAGACTGAAATTGAGAATTAGGAATTAGGTGGGTGAGACTTGGCTCTGCTGATTGGGTGCCAACTACCATTGAGTATAGTCTCCAGGAAACCCACCTATGTACCATGATGGAGTTGATATCGTCTCTGTAGGGTTGGGTCAATTACTCACTTTACCAAAAGGAAAGGAAAATATGTTGTATTATTAGGAACATGCAATATGTTTGATGTTTGATGGTGTGATATTAAACTAAGCTGAACAGTGTTTTAGTTTATGCATCCACGTATAAGAAGGTCTGTGAGACGGGGTGGGCTAGATAGGGATGTTGACCTTGAGATAATATAGCCGACGGTGAATAACCAAACTTCAGGCCAGACGGAGAATCCACCAGTGGTTCCACACCCTGGTCAAACGAAGAATCCACCAATGGGTTAAACTTCTAGACAGCTAAGCCTACTATAGCATCCTTAATGATCGAGACTTTACAGACTGTAACGCCCCGAGTCCCTCAGGTTAGTTAGTCTCGATTCAGGAGATTTTCCATTTAATATTAAATTGATGGTTAATTAAATTTATCTATATTTATCGGGCTCTAAAAATCCAATTAAATTAATAATTACCGAACTCTGTATGTTG